CTGTGTGAGACAGAGAGACACCGTTACACTTCTGTGTGGACAGAGAGAGACACCGTTACACTTCTGTGTGGACAGAGAGACACCGTTACACTTCTGTGTGGACAGAGAGACACCGTTACACTTCTGTGTGGACAGAGAGACACCGTTACACTTCTGTGTGAGACAGAGAGACACCGTTACACTTCTGTGTGGACAGAGAGACACCGTTACACTTCTGTGTGGACAGAGAGACACCGTTACACTTCTGTGTGGACAGAGAGAGACACCGTTACACTTCTGAGTGAGACAGAGAGACACCGTTACCCTTCTGTGTGGACAGAGAGAGACACCGTTACACTTCTGTGTGAGACAGAGAGACACCGTTACACTTCTGTGTGAGACAGAGATACACCGTTACACTTCTGTATGGACAGAGAGAGACACCGTTACACTTCTGTGTGAGACTGAGAGGCACCGTTACACTTCTGTGTGAGACAGAGAGACACCGTTACCCTTCTGTATGGACAGAGAGACACCGTTACACTTCTGTGTGGACACAGAGAGACACCGTTACACTTCTGTGTGGACAGAGAGACACCGTTACACTTCTGTGTGGACAGACAGAGACACCGTTACACTTCTGTGTGGACAGAGAGACACCGTTACACTTCTGTGTGGACAGAGAGACACCGTTACACTTCTGTGTGGACAGAGAGACACCTTTACACTTCTGTGTGGACAGAGAGACACCGTTACACTTCTGTGTGGACAGAGAGACACCGTTACACTTCTGTGTGGACAGAGAGACACCGTTACACTTCTGTGTGGACAGAGAGAGACACCGTTACACTTCTGTGTGAGACAGAGAGACACCGTTACACTTCTGTGTGGACAGAGAGAGACACCGTTACACTTCTGTGTGGACAGACAGAGACACCGTTACACTTCTGTGTGGACAGAGAGACACCGTTACACTTGTGTGGACAGAGAAGACACCGTTACACTTCTGTGTGGACAGAGAGAGACACCGTTACACTTCTGTGTGAGACAGAGACACCGTTACACTTCTGTGTGAGACAGAGAGACACCGTTACACTTCTGTGTGAGACAGAGAGACACCGTTACACTTCTGTGTGAGACAGAGAGACACCGTTACACTTCTGTGTGAGACAGAGAGACACCGTTACACTTCTATGTGAGACAGAGATACACCGTTCACTTCTGTGTGGACAGAGAGACCCGTTACACTTCTGTGTGGACAGAGATACACCGTTACACTTCTGTGTGGACAGAGAGACACCGTTACACTTCTGTGTGGACAGAGAGAGACACTGTTACACTTCTGTGTGGACAGAGAGAGACACCGTTACACTTCTGTGTGGACAGAGAGAGACACCGTTACACTTCTGTGTGGACAGAGAGACACCGTTACACTTCTGTGTGGACAGAGAGACACCGTTACACTTCTGTGTGGACAGAGAGAGACACCGTTACACTTCTGTGTGGACAGAGAGAGACACCGTTACACTTCTGTGTGGACAGAGAGAGACACCGTTACACTTCTGTGTGGACAGAGAGACACCGTTACACTTCTGTGTGGACAGAGAGAGACACCGTTACACTTCTGTGTGGACAGAGAGACACCGTTACACTTCTGTGTGGACAGAGAGAGACACCGTTACACTTCTGTGTGGACAGAGAGAGACACCGTTACACTTCTGTGTGAGACAGAGAGACACCGTTACACTTCTGTGTGAGACAGAGAGAGACACCGTTACACTTCTGTGTGGACAGAGAGAGACACCGTTACACTTCTGTGTGGACAGAGAGACACCGTTACACTTCTGTGTGAGACAGAGAGAGACACCGTTACACTTCTGTGTGGACAGAGAGAGGCACCGTTACACTTCTGTGTGGACAGAGAGAGACACCGTTACACTTCTGTGTGGACAGAGAGACACCGTTACACTTCTGTGTGGACAAGAGAGACACCGTTACACTTCTGTGTGGACAGAGAGAGGCACCGTTACACTTCTGTGTGAGACAGAGAGACACCGTTACACTTCTGTGTGGACAGAGAGAGACGCCGTTACACTTCTGTGTGGACAGAGAGAGGCACCGTTACACTTCTGTGTGGACAGAGAGAACACCGTTACACTTCTGTGGACAGAGAGAGGCACCATTACACTGGAATCTTGTGCGCTATCACACCACGGCAGATCCCTTTGTTTCTGAGTTTAAGATGTAAACATCCTCTATGTTTATTGCCAGACATGTCTATATGTGTTGCAAACTGGTAAAACACAATAGTTTTTCCGTGGCAATGCAAAACATTTTTTTTTCACAACCTGAGAACTGAGCTCCGAACCAGGCGAGCCGGGTTCGATTCCCGCTCACGGCCTGGGCCTCCTCTAGGTCGACTTAGCCTAAAATGATAAACATTGCCACTATGTATGTTGAACTTATTGTGCACCGTACGTAACCAACGGTGATAATCTAGGGTATGCTGCTGCCCACCAACCCCCTCATGTGCCGTCTTCATAGGTGTTCCGTAACAGCACTTGACCAAACAGTCCGTGAAGGCTACCCCGGGGATATTTGCCTTTGTTATATGTTACACAGTTATGTGTGGAGTGGTGGCGTAGTGATTAGCACACCGCACTACAAATTTTCCTACTAGAGTTGTATTGCCAGCCAAGGCTAATATTAGCGGGCAGTGATATCTTAACTCATACCGGTTCTCCCCTAGGTTGACTCAGCCTCAAATGCGTACCTGGTGAGGTGTGTAAACATCAGCAGTTGGGTGACAAAAGTGGCCACGCGTGGCACTGGGCACACCACCCTTCCTGCCCTGGGCCGAGCATAGTAGCTGCTTGCTAGCAGCACTCGGTCAACAGCCGATAGTGAAGGCTACACGAGGGATATTTGTCTCGGGGAGGCTCTTAATTTACGTAAACGTCATACAACTAAACGTCAGTATATCGTGTTGTTATGAGGCACTAAC